TTCACGTAGATTCAGAAACTTGATGCCTAATGAAGGTGGCACAAAAAAAGCAACAGGGAAATAAAGACTGTTTTGTGAATGGTGCTGGGTAAATTGTCACTGCACAGAGTAAGGGTGAGCTGTCACCAGTGACAGCAAAGGAGGTGATGGCCAAGGGGCCTGGGAAAACTGTGTCCGCAGGCTGGTGGGCACAGCCCAGCATGGGGACAAAGGGTGGCGCCAGGGGGGATGCCAGGGCCGGTGTGGAGGGGCCCACAGGACGCTCAGGGCAACAGGACGCCCACCCACCACTGGGTCAGGCGGAGCTGAGAGCAGGTGCAGGGTCCTTGGGCCCCAGGGCTTCCCACCTGTACACACCTGTGGCGGGGGAGGGGGGTCCTTTACCTGATGGGGCCGGAGGGGCTTGGTCTCTAGCCTGGGCCTTGCCAAGCTCGTCTGAGATCTCTCCGTGGACGGAGGGCAGTGGGACCGAGTAGCTCCTCTTCAGCAGAGGCCCGGGGGCCAACGCACGGCCGCCCCCACACTCTGCTGGGAGGGGATGGGCGTGAGACGAGGCTTCTGTCTCCACAGTGACACAAAACGCACGCCTGCCCCCTCAGGCCACGCCTTTATCACCTGTACCTGTGTCCATCTGCCCAGGTGACAGGTGAGCAAGGGCCAGCCTCCGACTCAGGCCCTGCTCTGTCCCTGAACTGACCAGTCCCATGTTGCTGGCCGAGTGCCTCAAGGGGAACTCTGCCCAGGAGGACGCCTGGCATCCTGTTCTCGGTGCCCGTCTCAGTTGAGGTGGCCCTGAGCTCTGCTGGGTGAGCCTGGCAAGTTTCAGCGCCCACCGGAGACTCAGTGAGTGAACCCACATGAGCTCGCAGGAAGGACCCTGAGCAATGTGGCTTCACCGAGCTTCACATCCTGTCACCCACATGTTTACAAAGCTGTTAAGAGTGGCTCCAGGCCACATGTCACCTGGAGGTGACTCCTGGCTGAGAGGCCTCAATGGACAGTTTCTTGCCCTAAATCAAGGCCCCTCTTGAGCGCTCAGAGCTCAGAACCTGAATAGCTCTTCCAGGAGCCAAGTTCTCATTCTGGCACGTACCTGGGTCATGGTACTCCTGGGGCCGCTCCTCGGGGCCACAGCCCATATGCCGCTTGGCCTTGCTGGTAGCCACACTGGCCACAGACACGAGGGGGATGGCTTGGCTCTCCTGGGACGGGAGAAGGAAGTGGACTGTCCCAGGCGTCCTGGGCTGAGGCTCTGGGTGAGGAGCATGGAACCCTCAAGGAAAAGCCACGTTACGAAATGGAGGGGTCGTGACCAACTAGGACACCAGACACTACGAGGAGGGCCGCTGGCTTCAGGCAACAGAGACCCAGCTGGCTTTTGTCCCAGCAATTCCAGCCGGTCTCAGCAGAGGTCAGGACTGCCAGGAGCCTTCAGTCCTCCTCATTGCAGTGAAAAACAACATAGAGAGCGAGAGGATCTGCCTGAGACATCAGCAAAGGAGGACGACAAACCTAGCTATCAGCAAACAAGGGGCATATTGACAATGAGCGCTGGCTCGGAGACGGCCGCTGTGCCATCTCCTTCTCACAAGGGACCAGGTGCTCCTCAGGCTACGGGGCCAGTGCAGGTCATCGCTGGCCCGTCTGCTTCTCACAAGGACTCTGGAATGGGACAGCTTATCCCATCTCACTGCCACTGGCTCAAAGGAGGGTTGAGGGACCCCAGGGGACAGGAGGCGACAGCCTCCAGGGATGTGTGCCAGGTGACCAGAGCCACACAGAGGCCAAACTGCAGACTCTCCTGGATTGGAGGCACAGGGACAGACAGATCACTGGCAGACGGGCAGCAAGTATCCAGAAGGGAGGGGCTGTGGCACCTGGGAGAATACCCCCCCAGCCTGTGGGCGGCTGGAGCGTTCAGCCCCCAGCACTGGCACAAGCTCCTGGACCGCAGGGCACTCACGGGGTTGAAGAGCTCGGCGGTGAGGCCCAGGTAGTGATGGAGCGCCAGGAAGGTGACCCTCTGTAGCCGGACCATGATGATCTGCGAGAGACGGAGCCCAGTCTGACGTCATTGGTCACCTGAGACGTCAGCAGTAGGGGCATACGCTCCGCACTGTTTCTGTAAGTTCTCTGTAAACCAGAATTACTCCAAAGCGAGAAGTTTAAATTAAAGTAACTCTGTGTGTGTGGGGGGGAGACACGGAGGCCGCTGGGAGGTGACGACACTCACTTTCTGTAAAGTACACGCTACAGACTGTCCAGCATCCCATCCTTCTTGCCCCCGCCCAGAAGCCACACTGCCAGCTCGGGAACGCCGGAGGGGACGCCGTGCAGCTGGAAAGGCGGCCTTGCAGAAGCGACTCACCTGCACCACCCTCACCAGGGTTTCGGGATATTTCTCAAAGACTCCTTGAAAAGCCAGGGCTGGGAGCCGGAGGACGGTGGATGGGACAGCAGCGCGGGCAGACACAGTTTTGTAGGGTGCGGTGTGGCCCTGCAATGACAGGCACATCAGTCTGTTCCCAGCCATCAGGGCTCGTTACCCGGCTCCCCAAGTCCCTGCTCCCGCCCACGTGGGCCTCCCACAAGGCCATCTGGGGCTGGGACCACCTGCCAAGTGACCCCAGGGTGAGCCTCGCTGCTGAGGACCAGGCAGTGGCCTCACTGTCGCCACCCACACAGCAACCAGCCAGCTCTGTGTTGTCCCGACGGCTCTGCCTTTGTCACAGTATCACATACAGGGTCTCACAGAGGGTCTGGGTCTTGTAACTGTGACCGTGCACCTGAGACCCACCCCACGTGCACCCTGCTGGCTGCTGGACGCCTCGGCTTCCTCCTCCGTCCAGCAGCTGCAGGACAGCTGGCCGTTTCTGGTGTGGGGCGCTTGGGAGTCAGGCTGCCATGGACACTCACAGGGTCTGTGTGAACAGTTTTCTTTCCCTTTGAGGGACATCCAGCAGTGGCACATCTGGGTCACAGGTTTTGAGAAGCCACCAAGCTCTGTCCCCAGTGGCTGACAACTTTGCATCCCACCAGCAATGACATGCACACACACCGCACCTGCACTGTCACCTCTCAACCATGCACGTCCCTGAGGGTTGGCAGCACCACGGTGCCTCCGGATGGGGCTGGCGACGTGGGAAGACCCACATGGGCGTGGATGGCAGGGCGCCCCTGACCTTGGGGACCCGAAGGGGCTGCAGACTCAGCTCAGTCCTTGGCCTCGATTCCATCGGCCATCCTCACTGGGCTGCGGTAGCCAGATGGTCTCACCCTTCACTTCCCAAATGACTGCTTAGGGCGTCTGCTGTGTGCTCTCCTGACGCCGTTGTCACCTGCGTTGAAGCGTCCGCTCACCGTCTATTGTTTGTTGGGTTGCCTGTTTTCTTAATGTGGAGTTTTGAGATTTTGTTGCATACTCTGGATACAAGCCCTGTATCAGATGGGTGCTTTGCGAACACTCTCCCAGCCTGTGGGCTGACTTTTCATTCTTTCACCAGTGTCTTCCACAGACTGGAAGTTGTTAATTTGGGTGAACTCTAATTCATCAATCTTTCTCTTTCACAAATCATGCTTTGTGTGTCAGATCTAGGAAATCTGGGCATGTAGGCTACGACCCACCTTGAGTTACTGTGAGGTGTGGGCAAGGTGCCGAGAAGACTGTCTCTCCCATGGTGACCTTCGCACTTGTTGGTGACCAGGGGACCTGCGTGTCACCATGGCACGATCCTGGTCACTGGGGCCTTGTGGTACGACTTGAACAAGGCAGTGTAAGTCCTTCCGCTTTTTGTTTTTTTTGAAGTTTTTTTGGGTTTTTTTAAAGATTTTTTAAATTGGGGAATTGGGGAAGGGGAACATTGTGTTTTTTCAGG